ACTGAACAATATGAAAGTGGTACAAGTGTGGCCGAACTGCCCAGGATGTATAAGAAACCCTACACAACCTTATGTTCCATAGTGGCCAAGAAAAAGGAAATCAAGGACGTTGTTGTTGCAAAAGGAGTAACTATGCTGACAAAAATGAGATCACCAGTACTCGAAGAGGTTGAGAAGTTATTATTGGTGTGGATAAATGAGAAACAATTAGCAGGAGATACTCTTATGACTTCGATTATTTGTGAAAAGGCTAGGCAGTTTCATGAAGATTTGGTAAAGAAATTGCCTGCAAATAGTGGTGATGTGAGTGAATTTAAGGCCAGCAAAGGCTGGTTTGAGAGATTTAAGAACCGTACTGGCATACACAGTGTGGTAAGGCATGGTGAGGCTGCCAGTTCAGACCACAAGGCGGCTGAAAAATATGTGCATGAATTCCAGGAGTACATAGAGGCTGAAGGACTGAAACCTGAACAAGTGTTCAATTGTGACGAAACAGGCCTCTTTTGGAAGAAAATGCCAAAGAGGACCTTCATTACACAAGAGGAAAAGGCAATGCCAGGATACAAGCCTATGAAAGACAGGCTGACGCTAATGTTCTATGTTAATGCTAGTGGGGATTTCGAAGTGAAGCCATTACTAGTGTACCATTCAGAAAATCCCAGAGTGTTCAGGAAAAACAATGTTATGAAGAGTAAATTGTGTGTGTTTTGGAAATCTAATAGTAAGGCATGGGTCACAAGGGAAATTTTCGTCGAGTGGTTCAATGAAGTGTTTGGCCCTAGTGTGAAGGAGTATCTCCTGGAAAAAAAATTGGATCTCAAGTGCCTGCTAGTAATGGACAATGCACCTGCTCATCCTCCAAACTTGGATGACCTAATTTTCAAGGAGTTTGGGTTCATCACAGTAAAGTTCTTGCCCCCGAATATCACTCCTCTTCTCCAGCCCATAGACCAGCAGGTCATTGCAAACTTTAAAAAACTCTACACAAAAGCAATGTTTCACAGGTGCTTGACTGTGACCACAGACACTCACTTGACCCTAAGGGAATTTTGGAGAGAACACTTCAGCATCCTCCATTGCATAACCCTTATAGGTATGGCTTGGGAGGGACTTTGAACTCTGCCTGGAAAAAATTGTGGCCATATTGTGTCGACAAGAGGGATTTTGAAGGGTTTGGGACTGACCCTGATGAGCCTATGTCTGTTGTAAAATCAATTGTGGCACTGGGGAGTTCCATGGGGTTGGATGTGAGTTTGGAGGATGTGAAAGAATTGGTGGAAGACCACAACAAAGAGCTCACCACTGAGGAGCTGCAAGAGCTTCAGCAGGAAGAGCAACAGATCACAGCTCAGAATCTTGCTGCAGAGGAGGAGGAAGAGAGATGGAAGAAGGTGCCTTCTTCAGAAATTAAAGAGATTTTTACTATGTGGGGTAACATGGAAAGCTTTATGGAGAAACATCACCCTAACAAGGTTGTTGCAAGCCATATTGGCAACATGTACAGTGACAAAGTCTTGGGCCATTTTAGGGAAGTGTTAAAGAGACTCCAAAAACAGAGCTCTCTCCACGGTTATTTTGCGAGACAGGACTCCATTGACTCTCAAGGTGGTCCTAGTGGCATTAAGAAACAGAGAAGAGAAGCAACCCCAGAAAAGCAATTGGTACCTGAGGTGTTGCTGGAAGGGGATTCCCCTTCCAAACTATAAACAATCCACCTCCTCCTCCCCAGTCCCCCTCACTAAGAAGAATCCCCAAAAATAAGTGTTATGCTTTTTAATATTTCATTCATCATTCCCCTGGTATTGTTTTTGTACTACCTGTATATTTAGAAAAAATTTTTTTGTTTTAAAAAATTTCTGGGTGTCGGGAACATTAATTGTATTTACATTTTTTCATGGGAAAATTGATTCATAAATCATAAATTTCGTTTATATAACGGCTCCAGGGAAGGATTAATTCGAAAAACGAGGGACCACTGTATAAAGTTTTTACTGCTAGGCCCCAAATGTAAAAATTTTATTTTTCCTGCCCCCAAATTTGGGATGATTGGGCCCGGGATGTCTTTGAGCATAGAATGGGTTTTAACACCCGTGGTGCAGTATTAAAAAAAAAATGGGGCCCCTTGTACCGTGGGGGAAACCCGTTCAAATAGCGCCCCTAGAGCAAACATGCAGCAAACACCTGGGGTTCACGCGTCGTTTATTAACACTCCCTTTTAAGAGGAAAGTGATTTTGACCCTGATTTAGTGACTTTGGGTGGTGTGGCCCCAATAGTCGAGGGAAAAATAAAAAACCTCGATAATAAACCCATGTGCAATATTTGTGCAACACCCTTTCAGAATGTCTTATGACCTATGTCCTAAGAAAAACAATTCTGGCAGGTTGGCTGGCTGGCTGGCTGGGCTGGCTGACTGGCTGGCTGGCTGGCTGGCTGGCAGTCTGGCTGCCTGGCTGGTTGATTGGCTGGCTAGCTGGCTGGCTAGCTGGCTGGCCGGCTGCGTGGCAGCCAGCTGTGTGGCTGGCCGGCTGCTGGCGGCACGGCTGTATCTCCGTTTGTCTGTCTGTATCTATGTCTATCTCTGTCTGTCTCTCTGTCTCTATCTCTGTCTGTCTCTTTCTATCTTTGTCTCTGTCTATCCTGTCTATCTCTGTCTATCTGTCTCTGTCTATCTCTTTCTATCTATCTCTGTCTCACAGGTACACAAATACAAGTATACATAGTGTAAATTACCTAGTATAACCCCAAAAATCCAGACAAAGTGCCATACTCTGGTTGAAGATGTGAGTAAACATGATGACAATGCAGTCTTGTGGCTCTCTCTGAGACAGAGAGCTAGACAGATAGACAGATAGACAGGGAGCTTGACAGACAGACAAATAGACAGACATGTTTGTGTACCAGCGAAAAAAAAAGCAAGCCCTAATCTTTTCTTATCACGTCTTATCACTGCACCCTTGCGAATGCTCATCAAATGTCAGCTCTTATTAAATGTTATCTCATTATCTCATCTTATCACGTCACTCTCAGGGGTGGACTATGTTTTTCATGCTTCAAGGGAACTTATTATTTTATTATCATTACAAATTCTTCTCCTCCTCCTCCTTCTCCTTCTCCTCCACCTCCTCTTCCTCCTCCTTCTCTGCCTTCTCCTTCTCCTCCTCCTCCTCATTATTATTTTGTACTTCCACATATCCGAAACATTGCTGGGACCTATAAATACTTTGTATATTCCAAGACAATAGTAAATGACCAAGGCAGGTATAAATGTCCACCTGTCAATGTGTTTGTGACAATGTGAGTACAATTTCAGTACCTAATACTAGTGTCAGAACAAAGATTGGTTATGAAATGACAAGAACTACTATAAATTGTAATTATCAGAACATAAAAATTATATAAAATATGAAAAATGGAAAAAAAGATATATTGGCAACACTTCTGCAAGCGGCAGCGCTCCATGTTGCCGCCAGGTGATCGCCAAGTGCCAACTTTGCGGCCTCATATCTTGGTAAGTACTGACCCTAAATTTTTTTTTTATCCTATAACACTTAGAAAAATGTGCTCTTTTTTTTAATAAAAAACAACGATTTTTTTTTATTTTTCAAAATATTCGGGGCACTGGGGTAGTGAACGTATATATACGTTTGGACCATTTACGGGTTACCTGAATCATTGTTTTCACAAAAAGCATTTTTGAATATATGAATATATCTTTTGTCTTATATAAATTAGATTCACTTATAATTAATAATCTACTGTACAACTATGATATAATTAATATTCTACTGTACAACTATGATATAATTAATATTCTACTGTACAACTATGATATAATTAATATTCTACTGTACAACTATGATATAATTAATATTCTACTGTACAACTATGATATAATTAATATTCTACTGTACAACTATGATATAATTAATATTCTACTGTACAACTATGATATAATTAATATTCTACTGTACAACTATGATATAATTAATATTCTACTGTACAACTATGATATAATTTTCAGTGTTAAGCAGTCAGTAAGCCAATACAATGTTAAGCCGGCCCATAATGCCTAGGCATAATACAGGCTCTCTTTGCATTACAACCCATTATTGTAAATACATAATCCCAATGTACTATTTGCAAAGACAAATAAATAAATAAATAAATAAATAAACTCAGATTTAATCGAAAAAAGGGTAAGGCAGGTCTATTCATTGGATCAAGAGCCCTTCACTGATGCCAAGAAACCTCCCTTTTGGTACATCTTTATAGTTAAAGAAGTAGGGTTATGTTTGTAGTGTCTAATCTTTTATAATTAATTTAATTCATAAGAGGAGACACAATAGTAGTTCATACTACTGTATTTCCTCTTAAGAAACCATTCACCTATTTTAACTATCCACTACCATTTAAAAAAATTTACTTCTGTATTCCTTGGATCAAAAGCCCTCACCAGCATCAAGGCACCTAGTGGTTAACTCTATCCAATTCAGACACTCCCAATCCTCTACAGATTATTTCAGTCAAGGCTTTGATATTGAAATTTCTTTCATTTATGACATTAACAATTACATATTTCTCAATGGTTTTAGTATACAATTGTATATATTAATTAATTATTATACTGACCATCTCTTATCAAGGAAGAATGGCCCAAATAATTACTATATAACTGCAAAATTTTATACCTTTTTTGTGCATTGTATAAAGAAGAAAAGAGTAATGAGCTCTAAGTTTCAGGTAATTTATTCATCTTCTAAAACACACATGGATTAGGGAAAGGTTTCAACCTGCCATTTTCCAAGTTACTGAGGCTTCTTTCAAAAGATATAATCAGTAATAAGAGAAGAAGAGATAAGTGAAAATAGCCTCACCATACGTAGAGCAAATGGGAGAATATTAGACTTGGGAGCTCTCTCTTTTCTATTTTAGTTCAAATAATTCCTACCAATAAAAAAGAAATTGGGTATGGATAACAAAATAAGAAAATGCTGAGATTTTAGTTTAAATTAATGTAACAAACCTGTACAAATGAAGTAAACCTGCCCAGATGGAGGGATGCAACATGTGCATCAAATACCAACTGCTCTGTCTCCACTTCATTAGCTACATCACCCTGAAATCCAACACAGATTATCTACTTAATAAAAAATTCAAAACAAAATGAAACCCATAAATCAATCTGCGCAAAGAAAAATTTTTCTTTCCCTCTCAAATAATTACAATTACAAGGTGAAAATAAATGGTATAAAATACCAACACAATGGAAACATAAACACACACGCAGTTTAATGTGATCCTTTATTGACAACGTTTCACCCACACAGTGGGCTTTTTCAAGTCACAAACAAATCTACCTAGGGTGGAAGGTACGTGAGTATTTAAAGTCAGGTTCAGAATGTTGAGGTCAGGTGGAGAATGCTGCATCTGATGATCTACCGGGTGGGGTTATAGAGTCTAAAATCTTGGGTAGCTTGGCAGGGGTATTGGATAAGTTGTGAGCAGACCTTCTGCAGTGTTCTATGTTCTTATGTGGGATAGCGATGAAGAAGTTTCTTGGCAAGTGGTTCAGCTATGTTATAGAAGCCATTGTTCTGGTTGAAATTGTTGGTTATAGAGATAAGCGATTCCACTTAATGACCCAGATACCTACAAACCCCTCACAACTAACCAAGTGGACAATCTTACTAAAACTTTTCTTCAAAGGACTCGCCGCATTCTGAGGAACTCAGAACAAGGGAAGAAACTTCTGCACACCATACCCAGCAACCCTAGACCTGCCAGAATGTGCGGCCTACCAAAAACTCACAAGCCTGGTATCCCATTGAGGCCCATATCTTCGGGAATAGGCAGTGCTCCCCACCAACTCTCAGGAATTCTCAAAAAACACCTCTCTAAACTCTTGGGCACTATCAGTCCAGCACATCTCAAACACTCGGGTGATCTTCTCAATCGCATTCGCAACATCAACATCAGGAACAAGAAACTTTCCAACCTTGACGTAACTTCCCTATTCACCAAAGTACCTACTACACAAGCCATCGATCTTCTGCACAGAAAAATTGACAATTCACTTGATCTTCCTATTCCAGCCAGCAATTTCATCGACCTCGTTGAACTATGTGTCGGCTTTACGTGTTTCTCTTTCAAAAATCACCTCTTTCAACAGACTTTGGTCTACCCATGGGCTCGCCACTCAGTGCCATCCTGGCGAACTTATACATGGAACATCTGGAAGCCGAGCGTTTCTCCACCATTATTCCTTCGACTGTCACCTGGCTCCGTTATGTTGACGACATTCTCCTCATAACTCCCAGTCGCTTCAACGTTCAAGCTCTCCAAGACAAGCTCAACCAGGTCGAGCCCTCAATCCAGTTCACACTTGAAGAAGAAGTCGACAACACTCTTCCTTTCCTTGATGTTCTTCTCTGCAAAGCTGACCATGAACTTCGTTTTAAAGTCTATCGAAAACCAACCAACCAAAACGATCTTCTCCATTATCCTCATCACTTCATCAGAGACTGCAGACAGCGGGCATTAAACATCTTCAACACACCCAGAGAAGACACTGCCGAGAAGAGATACACAGTCCTCCCCACCAACTCCATTGCCAAACATGTTTCCAACATCTTTTCCAATACAGTGGTCCCTCGTTGTTCGTAATTAATCCGTTCCTGGAGCCGTTACTATAAACGAAATTTACGATTTACGAATCAATTTTCCCCATAAGAAATAATGTAAATACAATTAATCCGTTCCTGACACCCAGAAGTATTAAAACAAAAAATTTTTTAACATGAAATATGCATGTAGTACATAAACATTACAATGGGAAATGATGAATGAAACATTAACAGCATAACACTTACCTTTATTGGAGATTCTTCTTAGTGTATGGGAGACTGGAGGAGGAGAGAGAGTGGATTGTTTATAGTTTGGAAGGGGAATCCCCTTCCATCAACACCTCAGGTACCATTTGCTTTTCTGGGGATGCTTCTCTTCTCTGTTTCTTAATGCCACTAGGACCACCTTGAGAGTCAATGGAGTCCTGGCTCACAAAATAACTGTGGAGAGAGCTCTGTTTCTGGCGTCTCTTTAACACTTCCCTAAAATGGCCCAAGACTTTGTCACTGCACATGTTGCCAACCTGGCTTGCAACAACCTTGTTAGGGTGATGTTTCTCCATAAAGCTTTCCATGTTACCCCACATAGTAAAAATCTCTTTAATTTCTGAAGAAGGCACCTTCTCCATCTCTCTCTTCCTCCTCCTCTGCAGCAAGATTCTGAGCTGCGATCTGTTGCTCTTCCTGCTGAAGCTCTTGCAGCTCCTCAGTGGTGAGCTCTTCATTGTGGTCTTCCACCAATTCTTCCACATCCTCCAAACTCACATCCAACCCCATGGAACTCCCCAGTGCCACAATTGATTTTACAACAGACATAGGCTCATTAGGGTCAGTCCCAAATTCTTCAAAATCCCTCTTGTCGACACAATCTGGCCACAATTTTCTCCAGGCAGAGTTTAAAGTCCTGGTAGTCACTCCCTCCCAAGCCATACTATAAGGTTATGCAGTGGAGGATGCTGAAGTGTTCTCTCCAAAATTCCCTTAGGGTCAAGTTAGTGTCTGTGGTCACAGTCAAGCACCTGTGAAACATTGCTTTTGTGTAGAGTTTTTTAAAGTTGCAATAACCTGCTGGTCCTGGTTGGAGGAGAGGAGTGGTATTCGGGGCAAGAACTTTACTGTGATGAACCCAAACTCCTCGAAAATTAGGTCATCCAAGTTTTTAGGATGAGCAGGTGCATTGTCCATTACTAGCAGGCACTTGAGATCCAATTTATTTTCCAGGAGATACTCCTTCACACTAGGGCCAAACACTTCATTGAACCACTCGACAAAAATTTCCCTCGTGACCCATGCCTTACTATTAGATTTCCAAAACACACACAATTTACTCTTCATAACATTGTTTTTCCTGAACACTCTGGGATTTTCTGAATGGTACACTAGTAATGGCTTCACTTTGAAATCCCCACTAGCATTAGCACAGAACATTAGCGTCAGCCTGTCTTTCATAGGCTTGTGTCCTGGCATTGCCTTTTCCTCTTGTGTAATGAAGATCCTCTTTGGCATTTTCTTCCAAAGAGGCCTGTTTCATCACAATTGAACACTTGTTCAGATTTCAGTCCTTCAGCCTCTATGTACTCCTGGAATTCATGCACATATTTTTCAGCCGCCTTGTGGTCCGAACTGGCAGCCTCACCATGCCTTACCACACTGTGTATGCCAGTACGGTTCTTAAATCTCTCAAACCAGCCTTTGCTGGCCTTAAATTCACTCACTTCACCACTATTTGCAGGCAATTTCTTTACCAATCTTCATGCAACTGCCTAGCCTTTTCACAAATAAACGAAGTCATAAGAGTATCTCCTGCTAATTGTTTCTCATTTATCCACACCAATAATAACTCCTCAACCTCTTCCAGTACTGGTGATCTCATTTTTGTCAGCATAGTTACTCCTTTTGCAACAACAGCATCCTTCATTTCATTTTTCTTGGCCACTGTGGAACATAAGGTTGTGTAGGGTTTCTTATACATCCTGGACAGTTCGGCCACACTTGTACCACTTTCATATTGTTCAATGATGGTTTTCTTAAATTCAATCGTATTTCTCACCTTCTTTACCACAGGCTTGGCACTAGGAGCTTTCTTTGGAGCCATGGTAGCCTATTTAGTACTGGCAAGCACTAAAATAAATGGAATATTATGAAATATTTAGCTGGAGCATGTGAGGGGACCTTCGCTCACTGGTAAACAATGCAAGACTGGCTGCCGCCCTGGCTCACGCCGTGGGTACGCGTCCTGGACGAACTACGACTCGTGAGTCAACCTATGAAAAGCGAGTCCATGTTTATACGAAAATACCTCTATGATTGGCGAATTTTACGATTGCCGGGAACTACGAAAAGTGGGGGACCACTGTACATCATTCCAAGTATCTACCTCCACAACCACGACCATCAAGGACATCACCAGTAGTAGACAGGACAAGCTTCCATCCTCTGCAGGGGTATACATAATCCCTTGTAATGAATGCAACAAATTATACGTGGGCGAAACATCAATAGACCTCCAAACACGTATTTCAGAACACCAATACGCAAGCAGGACTGACAATACAAGGAATGCCTGTGTACAACATCGCAATTCACACAACCATTTAATTAACTACAGAAACTCAAGACTTATCGCCACAGAAGACAACACTCAATACCAAAGAATCCTGGAATCATCACCTATCTCTATAACCAACAATTTCAACCAGAACAATGGCTTCTATAACATAGCTGAACCACTTGCCAAGAAACTTCTTCATCGCTATCCCACATAAGAACATAGAACACTGCAGAAGGTCTGCTCACAACTTATCCAATACCCTTGCCAAGCTACCCAAGATTTTAAACTCTATAACCCCACCCGGTAGATCATCAGATGCGGCATTCTCCACCTGATCTCAACATTCTGAACCTGACTATAAATACTCACGTACCTTCCACCCCAGGTAGATCTGTTTGCGACTTGAAAAAGCCCACTGTGTGGGCGAAACATTGTCAATAAAGGATCACATTAAACTACATATGTGTTTATGTTTCCACCATTACAAGGTCAGTAACAATGTAATCTTTAAAAATAAAAAGTGTTAATTTCAAACTAAGTTTGACTTAGATTTCAAGTATGATCGTCTCCCCATGAATTTGTCACAAAAAACACAACTGGTTCACAAATATCTGCCCAAAGGAAGTTGAACAAACTGATTTTGTGCAGTGTGCAAAAACTGCACACTTACGAAAAGGAAACTGAACAAAGTAGTGATGAAATTTTTCAATCACAACTGTCTTCAGGAATTCAAGCAGATTATGATATCAACACAACCCCCTATGCATTAGCTTTATATATATAAAATATGGGAAGACAGTGATCATTAAGATATCACTGCCCAATTTACAATTTGTGTGTCAGACCAACAAGTTACTAAAGTATGCAACATTAAATGAGAATAAAATGATACTTCCAGAGAGAAAATAGGTACTAAACGATATTTTTTTTTTTAACAACTCAGCCATCTCTCACCGAGGCAGGGTGACCAAAAAAGAAAGAAAATCCCCAAAAAGAAAATACTTTCATCATCATTCAACACTTTCACCTTACTCACACATAATCACTGTTTTTGCAGAGGTGCTTAGAATACAACAGTTTAGAAGCATATATGTATAAAGATACACAATATATCCATCCAAACTGCCAATATCCCATACCCCTCCTTTAAAGTGCAGGCATTGTACTTCCCATCTTCAGGACTCAAGTCCAGCTATATAACAATGACGGATTTCCCTGAATCCCTTCACTAAATACTACCCTGCTCACACCCCAACAGCTCGTCAGATCCAAAATACCATTCATCTCCATTCACTCCTATCTAACACACTCATGCATGCTTGCTGGAAGTCCAAGCACCTCGCCCACAAAACCTCCTTTACCCTCTCCCTCCAACCTTTTTGAGGACAACCCCTACCCTGCCTTCCTTCCCCTACAGATTTATACACTCTCCATGTCATTCTACTTTGACTCATTCTCTCTAAATGACCAAACCACCTCAACAACCCCTCTTCAGCCCTCTGACTAATACTTTTATTAACTCCACACCTTCTTCTAATTTTCACACTCCAAATTTTCTGCATAATATTTACACCACACACTGCCATTAGACATGACATCTTCACTGCCTCCAACTGTCTCCTCACTGCAGCATTTACAACCCAAGCTTCACACCCATATAAGAGTGTTGGTACCACTATACTTTCATACATTCCCTTCTTTGCCTGCATAGATAACATTTTTTTTGTCTCCACATATACCTCAATGTACCACTCACCTTTTTTCCTTCATCAATGATTTACCTCATCCCTCATAAATCCGTCTGCTGACACGTCAACTCCCAAATATCTGAAAACATTCACTTCTTCCATACTCTTCCTCTCCAATTTGATATCCAATTTTTCTTTATCTAAAGAAGTTGATACCCTCATCACCTTACTCTTTTCTATGTTTACTTTCAACTTTCTACCTTTACACACTCTCCCAAACTCGTCCACTAACCTTTGTAATTTTTCTTTAGAATCTCCCATAAGCACAGTATCATCAGCAAAAAAGTTAACTGTGTCAATTCCCATTTTGTATTTGATTCCCCATAATTTAATCTCACCCCTCTCCCTAACACCCTAGCATTTACTTCTTTTACAACCCCATCTATAAATATATTAAACAACCATGGTGACATTACACATCCCTGTCTAAGATCTACTTTTACCAGGAAGTAGTCTCCCTCTCTTCTACACACCCTAACATGAGCCTCACTATCCTCATAAAAACTCTTGACAGCATTTAGTAACTTACTACCTATTCCATATACATGTACTTGCAACATCTGCCACATTGCTTCCCTATCTACTCTATCATATGCCTTTTCTAAATCCATAAATGCAAGGAAAACTTCCCTACCTTTACCTAAATAATGTTTACATATATGCTTCAATGTAAACACTTGATCTACACATCCCCTACCCACTCTAAAACCTCCTTGCTCATTTGCAATCCTACGTTCTGTCTTACCTCTAATTCTTTCAATAATAACCCTACTGAACACTTTCCCTGGTATACTCAGTAAACTAATTCCTCTATAATTTTTACAATCTCTCTTGTCCCCCTTCCCTCTATATAAAGGAACTATACATGCTCTCTGCCAATCCCTAGGTACCTTCCCCTCTTTCATACATTCATTAAACAAAAATACCAACCACTCTAACACTATATCCCCCCTGCTTTTAACATTTCTATCATGATCCCATCAGTTCCAGCTGCTTTACCCCCTTTCCTTCTATGTAATGCCTCACGCACCTCCCCCACACTCACATCCTGTTCTTCTTCACTCCTAAAAGATAGTATACCTCCCTGGCCAATGCATGAAATTACCACCTCCCTTTCTTCGTCGATATTTAAAAGTTCCTCAAAATATTCCTGCCATCTACCCAATACCTCCATCTCCCCATCTACTAACTCCCCTACTCTGTTTTTAACTGACAAATCCATTTGTGTCCTAGGCTTTCTTAACTTATTTAACTCGCTCCAAAATTTTTTCTTATTTTCATTAAAATTTCTTGACAGTGCCTCTACCACTCTATCATCTGCTCTCCTTTTGCAATCTCTCACCACTCTCTTCACCTTTCTTTTACTCTCCATATACGTACTCTGCTCTTCTTATAACACTTCTACTGTGTAAAAACCTCTCATCATTCCACCAATCACTCCTCTTTTCTCCTGCACCCACCCTCCTATAACCACAAACTTCTACCCCACATTCATATACTGCATTTATAAAACTATCCCAACCCTATTCAACCCCCCACTACTCATACTTACACTAGTCCACCTTTCTGCCAATAGTTGCTTGTATCTCACCCGATCTTCCTCCTCCCTTAGTTTATACACTTTCACCTCTCTTTTACTTGATGTTGCTATTTTCCTCTTGTCCCATCTACCTCTTACTCTAGATGTAGCTACAACTAAATAATGATCCGATATATCAGTTGCCCCTCTATAAATGTGTATATCCTGGAGCCTACCCGTCAACCTTTTATCCACTAATACATAATCTAGCAAACTACTTTCATTACATGCTATATCATACCTTGTATATTTATTTATCCTCTTTTTCATAAAATATGTATTACTTATTACCAAACCTCTTTCTACACATAGCTCAATTAAAGGCTTCCCATTTTCATTTACCCCTGGCACCCCAAATTTACCTACTACTCCCTCCACAGCATTTTTACCCACTTCAGCATTGAAATCCCCAACTACAAGTACTCTCACACTTTGTTCAAAACTCCCCACGCATTTACTCATTTCCCAAAATCTCTCTCTCTACACTTCTCTCTTCTCCAGGTACATATATGCTTACTATAACCCACTTTTCACATCCAACCTTTATTTTAGTCCACATAATCCTTGAATTAATACATTTATACTCCTTCTTTTCCTGCCATAGCTTATCCTTCAACATTTTTGCTACTCCTTCTTTAGCTCTTACTCTGTTTGAAACCCTTGACCTAATCCCATTTATTCCTCTTCACTGAAACTCTCCCACCCCCTTCAGCTTTGTTTCACTTAAAGCCAGGACATCCAGCTTCTTCTCATTCATAACATTCACAATCATCTCTTTCTTATCATTCGCACAACATCCACGCACATTCAGACATCCCACTTTGACAATTTTCTTATTATTCTTTTTAGTAATCATTACAGGGAAAGGGGTTACTAGCCCATTGTTCCCAGCATTTTAGTTGACTTTTACAACACGCATGGAAAGATTCTCATTCCACTTCCCCATGGATATAAAAGGAAAAGTAATAAGAAAAAGAACTAATAAGACAAAATCAAAGAAAACTTAGATGAGTGTGTATAAATAAACATGTACATGTATGTGTAGTGTGACCTAAGTGTAAGTAGAAGTAGGAAGACGTACCTGTAATCTTGCATATTTATGAGACAGACAAAAGACACCAGCAATCCTACCATCATGTAAAACAATTACAGGCTTTCGTTTTACACTCACTTGGCAGGACGGTAGTACCTCCCTGGGTGGTTGCTGTCTACCAACCAACTTACTAACAGATACAGTGGACCCCCGCTTAACGAACTTTTTTCATTCCAGTAGTATGTTCAGGTGCCAGTACTGACCGAATTTTTCCCCATAAGGAATATTGTGAAGTAGATTAGTCCATTTCAGACCCCTAAACATACACGTACAAACGCACTTACATAAATACACTTACATAATTGGTCGCATTTGGAGGTGATCGTTAAGCGGGGGTCCACTGTATATTGTATGAAATGGAAAAACAGTTCCTTAAATAAAACTAGTGAATACTCACCTCAAAGTTAGCCCCTCGTTTAAGAAACCGCGTGCCAGCATAACAGCAAGATCTCCGAGCAATTAAAGTCAAAAAGAAAGATCTTCCATATACGGATATGTTGCTCTGAAAAAAGTAAGGGGAGGGGGGGTAAGAATGTAAGTGTCATTTCTAATAAAAGTCACAGGTGAAAACTTAAAAAAAAAAAAATTGTTTACCTTTCATGAGACAGGTTTGATTTTTTTTTTAACACATCGGCCGTCTCCCACTGAGGCAGGGTGACCCAAAAAGAAAGAAAAACCTAAAAAGAAAGAAAAAAATGTTCAGCATCATTGAACACTTTTACAGTATAAATTACTAAATGAAATAAGAAGAAAAGCTTTAATTTCTTCTTTTTCAAGTCAATCTGCCTCAATGGAACATGGTAGATGTGTTAAAAAACATATTCCTTACAAATAGACAAAAAATTCCTCGAGAAATTCACCTGTGCAACAAAGCCATGAGTAATGGGTAAAATCCAGGCAGGATGTAGAAAATTTTCAACTGGCTTTAACAAGTAAGAATTCCATACATATTTGTTGTTGGGTTTATTACGTATTCCATATGAAACAGGAGGTGGTGGCTGCTGTTTTACGTTACTTGATGGTGAGGTTTGACACTGATTGTTATACACGTCTGAGGTAACATTGGCACCATTTTTATTCAATTCTTTACTTGACAGTGAGCTGAAAAAAAAAAAAGATTGTATATATTAAGACCTCTTTTTCATTCATTTAAGTCAATCTAATTTTGACAAGTAGATACTGTATTACTTATGTAAGGGCAAACATTTTAACACAATTAGAAACTGTGGGGAATCAAAGAAAACAGTTTTGGTGACACTGGCCATATTCCAAAATATCAACTTCACACCAACTATTTAATAACTTTTCTCACTATTAGAAGTTTATTTCAATTAAAATGACTTCTCAAATACAATAATCAATTCAATTAACCCTTTCAGGGTCCGTCCCGTAGATCTACGGCTTTACGGTGAGTGTCCAAACCGTAGATCTACGCCATGAGCTCAGCTCACTCTGATAAACTGTGAGTGGTACATTTGGGCCTAGATATGAGAGAATACATCTATGTGGTATGTGTGCACCACATAAAACAGATCCTGCAGCACACTGTGTATAATGAGAGAAAAAAACTGAAATCATGATTTTTCGATTAAAACAGCAACTTTGCAGTGTTTTTTCGTATGTTTTTTATAGTTGTATTTGCGATTTCTTGGTCTCATTTGATAGAATGGAAGACATATTACAGAAATAGAGATGATTTTGATTGGTTTTAGCACAGGAAATGGCTTGAAACTGAGCTCAAAGTAGCAGAAATGTTAAATTTTTGCCGATATTCAAGAGTAAACAAACGACCTCACACATCTAATACACTCAACTGGTGGGTCTAATATACATTCACAAATATGGTGATGATATTTATACAATTATTACAGTATTGCATAACAGTAAATCTTCTATTTTTTGGTGTGAATAAAAATTCATTATGTGAATAAAAAATCAAAATGGAATTTATTTGTAAAGCCTCAAAACATAACTAATGAACAGAGGAAATGTTAGTTTAGTGCCAGGAATGCCTACATTGTTTATTCTGGACCCTATTTTGAAATTGGAATATTTTGAACTTTGTGTTAAATTGGCCAAATTAACAATTTCCGATCACTTTATTTTGTAGTTGAAACAGTTGACTTGGCGATTTCTTGTGCTCAATCGATAGAATAGAAGTAATACTAGTGAAATAGCTAAGAATTTGGTTGATTGGAATAATGTAATTGGCCTAAAATGGGAGTCAAAGTCGGCAAAATCGCCGATTCGTAAATATCGCTGACACATCAAAATTCGCGAGAGCATAATTTCGTCAATTTTCCACCAAATTTCGTACTTTTTGTTTTATTACCTTCACAAAAAGATTCTCTACGATTTCATAAGAAAAAATAACAAATTTTTTTTTTTTAAATTCTTGGACACTGGTGCGTGACTCCAGATTTGGGCCTTGGACCCTGAAAGGGTTAATGACTGTAACAATAACAAAAGATTTTTTAACTTTACTATTTCCAATAAAACTGATCCAGCAGATTTTGTCTCATGTTTTTGAAGTTCATTAAATCAAAGGTTTACTGTGATTCATTTGGAATGCACGGCAATGATGTGGTTCTGCACCTAAAAAAAAACACAGGGACAAACTAGAGAAAGTTCAAAGAGGTTCTAAAAAATGGCTCCTAGAGCTAAAAATAACAGTTACTAAGAAAGGCTGAAAGTGTTAGGCATGCCCACACCAGGAAGAAAGAGCAGGCATTAGAACCATATGTATTATTATAAAAAAAAAAAGAAATAATAAATAATATTTTCTAGCAGCATCAACCGAGAGAGCATGAAACAGCTATACACTATGAAAGAAATGATACTGAAAGTATTCTAGATAGTTGAATCTTCATAAACACTGGTAGAACAATGGAATTGTTACAGAATTATTATTTTTTTATTATTTTTTTTATTAACACATCGGCTGACTCCCACCAAGGCAGGGCGGCCCAAAAAAGAAAACCTTTCAACATCAGTCACTCCATCACTGTCTTGCCAGAGGGGTGCTTTACACTACAGTTATAATACTGTAACAGTAACACCCCTCCTCCAGTCACTAAGCCCGTAATAGTCACACAGTGCTGTAATTACAAAAGAAGATAGTAATTCTATGAAAAATTCTACCATAATCCTGCTTTCCCTTTTTTTGTGGGCATGTACAGTACTACAGTACTACCAGTAATATGTGCATTATAAATAATAATTAATGAACAGTTAGCAGAAATGTTTTTCATAGATCTGATAAGGTAGATAGTACAACAGACTTCAACTAGAAATGTATTTTCATCATAAAGCAATCTCAGAAGGGTGACTGAATATTTATTAAATTGTTAAAACTTATTAAAACATATGGCAGTGATAAGATTTGTTTGACCCAAGAAAATCAGTGTGTCAAGGACTGTCTATCTAATTTCCACTGGGGTCCGTCATACAGGCACCTACTTACTGAGGTGAACAGGGACAGCAGGTGTAAGGAAACATGCCCAATGTTTCCACTCATGCCAGGGATTGAACCATGGACACTGTGTGTGAGGTGAGAGTGTTGTCTACTGAGCCATGGGACATAACGAATCCAGATTTTAAAATTTCCTACTGCACAGCAAGCCCATGAGCACTTGGTCACACATCAAAAGGGTGATTTTATTTTTAGTGTAATCCAGTCCCACATGATACCTTCCTAAATAAACAAAACACAGTTTTCCTTACCACCTACCTACAGTACTTATGTTTAACAGACTTCTTTTTAGGGGATGCCTAATTACTTTTACAATTTTAAATTTACACTTATGGGAATTACAAGAGACACAAATGAACTATGATGAACATGGTCATGTAAAGAAGAAATATAGCTTAAGGTGCAAAACAAGATAAAGCCAAGAGGAAAAAAGAGAGAAAAATTATACAGTATACATTATTCAAGCAATAACCCAGACAAATGTACATGAAGAAGTAATATGACTTTATACCATAACAGAATATCTAAAACCTCTTACCTTGTTACTTTGTCAACCTCTTCATTTGAATCCTTAGAATTTACAGACAAATTCAGAAAGTCTTCTGCTTTTTCTATTTCACCCACTGAAAGGAAAGGAATAATCCTACTGATTGAACTAGTTCACCACAATGTGTACCTTATCTTAAGCAGCAATAAAAATACATATTAAAACACAAAAATATTATCTTAAAACATATAGTGCACCCAACTACGGCAAAAAATTCTTTGTGTACAAACTAATGAACAGTCAAACTGCTAGGATTCCTAGATTTTCAGGTAAAAGGTGCAGTGTGTTACTGAAAGTACAATATGCAGAAAACTGCACAAAAAATAAACTCCATTAATAAAGAAAATACAGCAAGATCAGAAAAGCAAATGCAGTGGACCCTCGACCAATGATATTAATCCGTTCCAGAGAGCTTGTCCTTAGCCGAAATTATTGTTAGCTGAATTAATTTCCCCCATAAGAAATAATGGAAATCCAATTAATCCGTTCCAGACACCCAAAAGTATGATTTTTTTTTTCACATGAAATGTACATTTTCCTACACAGAAAAACAAGGATACATGCACAATAAATGCTAAATGAAGGATAAATGACACTTATTTTATTGAAGATTTCTTGGTGAGTGATGAGATGGGAGGAGAGGAGATGGAGGTGTATTATTGTTTGGAAGGGGAATCCCCTTCCATAAGGACTTTAGGTACCAAGTCCTTTTCCGGGGTTACTTCCCTTCTTTTTTTTAATGCCACTGGGAACAACCTGACAGTCACTGGACCTCTGTCGCACCAAAAATCTGTCCACTATAAAAGTCACCAGCATGGCTTGCAATAGCTGTGTCAGGGTGATTTTCATCCATAAAAGTTTGCACCTGTGTTCACATTGTACAAATTTCCTTAACCCTTTCAGGGTTTCCGACGTACTAGTACTGCTTACACACCAGGGCTATTGACATACTAGTACGCATAAATTCTAGTGCCTTCAAATTGAGCAGGAGAGAGCTGATAAGCGTACATGTGATAGAATGGGTCTATGTGGTAAGAGCGCACAGCAGGAAAAAATCTATGCACCCGCACTGCATTGTGGGAGTGGTAATTCAGTGCAAATTTGCAACTAGGCAGGCAGGCAGGCAGGCTGGCAGGCTGGCTGGCTGGCTGGCTGGCTGGCTGGCTGGCTGGCTGGCTGGCTGGCTGGCTGGCTGGCTGGCTGGCTGGCTGGCTGCTGGCTGGCTGGCTGGCTGGCTGGCTGGCTGGCTGGCTGGCTGGCTGGCTGGCTGGCTGGCTGGCTGGCTGGCTGGCTGGCTGGCTGGCTGGCTGGCTGGCTGGCTGCTGCTGGCTGGTGCTGGCTGGCTGGCTGTGGCTGGTGCTGGCTGGCTGGCTGCTGGCTGGCTGGCTGGCTGGCTGGCGGCTGGCTGGCTGGCGGCTGGTGGCTGGCTGGTGGCTGGCTGGCTGGCTGGCTGGCTGGCTGGCTGGCTGGCTGGCTGGCTGGCTGGCTGGCTGGCTGGCTGGCTGGCTGGCTGGCTGGCTGGCTGGCTGGCTGGCTGGCTGGCTGGCTGGCTGGCTGGCTGGCTGGCTGTGGCTGGCTGGCTGGCTGGCTGGCTCTGGCTGGCTGGCTGGCTGGCTGGCTGGTGGGCTGGCTGCTGGCTGGCTGGCTGGCTGGCTGGCTGCTGGCTGGCTGGTGGCTGGCTGGCTGGCTGGCTGGCTGGCTGGCTGGCTGGTGGCTGGCTGGCTGGCTGGCTGCTGGCTGGCTGGCCTGGCTGGCTGGCTGGCTGGCTGGTCTGGCTGGGTGGTGGCTGGCTGGCTTTGGGTGCTGGCTGGCTGGCTGGCTGGCTGGCTGGCTGGCTGGCTGGCTGGATGGGCTGGCTGGCTGGCTGGCTGGCTGGGGGTGGCTGGCGGTGGCTGGCTGGCTGGCTGGCTGGCTGGCTGGCTGGCTGGCTGGCTGGCTGGCTGGCTGGGCTGGTGGCTGGCTGGGCTGGCTGGCTGGCTGGCTGGCTGGCTGGCTGGCTGGTGGCTGGCTGGCTGGCTGGTGGCTGGCTGGATGGCTGCTGGCTGGCGGCTGCTGGCTGGGGGTGGCTGGCTGGCTGGCTGCTGGGTGGCTGGCTGGCTGGCTGGCTGGCTGGCTGCTGGCTGTGGCTGGCTGGCTGGCTGGGTGGCTGGCTGGCTGGCTGGCTGGCTGGTCTGGCTGGTGGCTGGCTGGCTGCGCTGGCTGGCTGGCTGGCTGGTGGCTGGGGCTGGTGCTGGCTGGCTGGCTGGCTGGCTGGCTGGCTGGCTGGCTGGCTGGCTGGCTGGCTGGCTGGCTGGGGCTGGCTGGCTGGCTGGCTGGCTGGCTGGCTGGCTGGCTGGCTGGCTGGCTGGCTGGGCTGGCTGCTGGCTCTGGCTGGCTGGCTGGCTGGCTGGCTGGCTGGCTGGCTGGCTGGCTGGCTGGCTGGCTGGCTGGCTGGCTGGCTGGCTGGCTGGCTGGCTGGCTGGCTGGCTGGCTGGCTGGCTGGCTGGATGGCTGGCTGGCTGGCTGGCTGGCTGGCTGGTGGTGGCTGGCTGGTGGCTGGCTGGCTGGCTGGCTGGCTGGCTGGCTGGCTGGCTGGCTGGCTGGCCACACTCTGTATGCCACTACGTTTCTTAAATCTCTCAAACCGACCTTTGCTGGCCTTAAATTCAATAACATCACTAGTTGCAGGCATTTTTTTAGTTAAATCGTCATGCAACTGCCTTGCCTTTTCACATAATGTTGATTGAGAAATACCATCTCCTGATATTTGTTTTTCATTTATCCACACCAACAACAGTCTCTCAACATCTTCGAGAACAGTGGACCCCCGGTTCGCGATATTAATCTGTTCCTGAGAGCTCATCGTAAACCAAAATTATCGGAAAGCGAATCAATTTTCCCCATAAGAAATAATGATAATCAAATTAATCCGTGCAAGACACCCAAAAGTATGAAAAAAAACTTTTACCACATGAAATATTAAGTTTAATGCAATAGAATAATTACAATAACAACAATAACAATAGAATAATAACAATAGAATAATTGACACTTAAACCTTTAATAAAGATCGGGGTGATGATTGATGGGATGGGGGGGGGGGGGAGAGTGTCGAAGTTGTTTATGTTTAAAAGGGGAATCCCCTTAAATTGGGGATTGGGGGTCAAGCCCTTTTCCCGGGGTTATTTTCCCTTCTTTTTTTAAAGGGCCACAAAGGACCAGTTTGAGAGTCCTGGGCCTTGTCCCCTTTCCCTTTTAAAGATTTGTTTTTAAAAAGGGGCCCCAAAAAAATTTGTCATTGTAATAGTCACCGGGTCGGCTTGAAATGGCGTTTTTAGGGCGATTTTTCACCCAAAAAGGGTTTTTGCGTTAAAACCCACTTTGCACACTTTTCCTTTTAATTTTTTTAAGGGAAAGGCACAAGGGGATCCAAAAGGGATGGGTTCTAGGGTTAGCCCCAAACCCTTAAAAATCTTTCTTAATTTCCATATTTAAATTTTTCCCCCTTTTTCCCACGGGGTTGGGAAAATAGAAGCTTTCTTGGGGCCCAGGGTTGAATTTTTTGGGCAAAAAACAAGCCCCAAAAACGTGTTTAAAAATTGGATAATATGGAATGTACCGAATGATATCAAAGATGCCGCAACTGGCTGCCTTGTAAACACGGGACACACCAGGGCAGTTCGGGCCCAAACCCCCTGGATATGCCTTGTAGGAATGCATGCATTTCCCGGTTTTTTTAACGGGAATGAGGGAAATTTTTTTGCGATATAATGCCCTCGGCTACCGGATTTACGGGGGGTACCGATAGCTCGTTTTAAAAAGGGGGTCCACTGTATTTGCGAATCTCTTTTTTCGAAAAAATATTTGCACCTTACCCCAACAAAGGGCTTTCCCCTTTATTACCTTTTTGTTGGGCCAAGATAGGCGAAAAGGTTGATTGGGGGTTTTTATAAAACGGGGGAGCTTGGAGGCATGCACTTCCCTTTCATGGTTTTAAATTTTCACCCTTTTTACCACAGGAAATTGGGAAATTTGGGAAACTTTCTTTGGGCCCATGATAGTTTTTTAGAGTTACAGGGAAATAAAAAAAACAAAATGTATTGAAAGTATGCTTTGGGAACTGACTGTCCCGGCTAGTAAACAATGGGGCCCCTAAATGAAGGGAGGGCAGAGCGCTGGGCCGCGCTTAAGGGGAAAACGGGGCGTGTGGGCCGCGTTTGGGAAAAATATTGTTAGTCGAGTTTTTCATCGTTGGTCAGGCCAAAATTTTTACGCTGAAACGCATTGTTAGGCAATTTTTATCATTGGGACGATCCCAAACGTTGGTCGAGGGTCCATTGTGCAAGTGCCAGTCAGTTTGAATGAAACAATGAAAAATAATAGGTAGCACAGGGTGGAAAACATAATGCTAGGACACAAACAGTGAGTCATATATATATATCAGAATCAAAATTGATAATGACATCCTTCAACATTATGGCAACCATCAATTACTGAACAAAAAGAGCCTCATACACCCAAGTACAGTGGACCCCGGGTTTACGATATTATTTCATTCAGAGTATGTTCAGGTGCCAGTACTGACCGAATTTGTTCCCAAAAGGAAATACTGTGAATTAGGTAAGTCCATTTCAGCCCCCCAAACATACACATACAAACGCCTTACTTTAAATACACATACATAATTGGTCGCATTGGGAGCTGATCGTAAACCGGGGGTTTCCACTGTATATGCACATGTGTGCCGCACGTGCGTGCGCGCGCACACACACACAGGAGCTTGGGACTCGACCCCCGCAACCTCAACTAGGTGAGTACAGAGCACAGAGTTGTTAGGAAGTGGAAAAGTCTGGCAAGTGATGTAGGGGAGGCAGGAACTGTACATAGTTTTAAAACAAGGTATGATGAAGCTCATGGAGCAGGGAGAGGGAGGACCCAGTAGCGGTCATTTGGGGGCCGGGAAAGCTGAGTCTTGACCCTGCAACCACAATTAGGGAGTACACACACACACACCACACACCACACACACACACACACACTAAGCATCTCAATTTTTAAAAACAGATCATATCTGCATTTCCAATAAAACATCTCGTT